AATTGTCAAAATTAACAGAAGTCATTTCTTGATGTTGGGCCATTGATTGATTAGCCTTTTTCCCTCTGTATGCTTTTTGATATTTTTGATCATAAAAATGTATCATTTTTGTGGTAAGAAATATTATTATTTTTCTGAGAACTCATAGCATACCTCAAACATACTTCCTATGCAGAATAGTTTGATTGAGGTTAACACTGGAGATTAATTACATTTGCGCATTTCTTTATAGTTTTTTTTGGTGTATATGTAAACGCATATGAATTTTAAAATAAACTCGAGGTAGCTGATATTATCAGCATCTGCTTTTTACACATAAGGAGACTGAGGGTCAGCAAGATTTACAATATCCTGGCTTGTAGGACTTTGGTGGTTTTTAGATTCTCTGTTCTCTGCCAGTTTCTCAAAATATGCACAGAATACTGATATAGGTTCTGAATTTGTAGATGCATTTATATAGTGACACTGAATGACAGTAGTAATGATTCAGTTTGGTGCCTGTGTAAATATGCATGCAGGCACCTCAATCCCAGTTCGTACATTCCCACTGCTATAGGAACACCAGGGGCAAACATCTGTCCAGATGTGAGTCCTTAATGAGCTGAAACCACAGATGTAAATATCTCTCATACATGAGGAACATTCTCATGATCTTGACACTGCAAGTTTTTTTTTTTTTACAATTTCCCAGCACTATTAAGAAACATTCCCCAATTTTACAGGAAATTTGAAGTTTATGTTTCCTTTTTCAACTTCTAGACAAGTGGGGAAGATAAAACTTGCACAGCCGGGGAGATCACATCTTCATGCTGTGTGTGACTTTCCAGCTACCTGCAGTAGCCAACATGTCTTGGGTCCTACTTTCTGTATTCTGGCTCGTCATTCAAACCCAGGGTAAGCACTAATATATTGGCATTTTACATAAAAGCCAAATTATTTGATGATTATTTAAAGAAATGTCACATGCTTTTATGATGCCAGATAACTACTGTTTGCATTGTGGTATATTTTCCACCTCTTTCTCTACAAAAGCAAACTATACCTATATAAATAAATCTTCCTTTTTGGGTATTT